GACGATTACTAAATGTTTACAATGTTTACAATTTGTTTAAATATTTAAATCCAAATATTACATCGAATAGCTTCGGTAACGGCGTGATAAATAAGTGATTTCCTGCGTCAGTTGTGAGATTTACGAAAACATCCTTCTTTTCGTTTATAATAAACTGAAAAGTCTTTTTCTGATGCGCAGTGTTAAAACTTCCAAATTTAAAAATACTACAGACTTGTTGTGATAGCACAAGAGTGATAATAACCCATGCGTGTGAAGGTCATTGAAGGCCGATCTTCCAATTATCGTGTAGATGATTGTGATTGGTTAATTGCCGGGAAGTCAAATGTATAGCGAATGTGAGCAGACGTTAGGTGAGGCCTCGGCCACTAACAACGTCTGCGCAGGAGGCTAGGTCAAAACGGCCCGCCCAAGTCAAACGGCGGCCCCAAGTCAAAACGACTCCAAGTCAATTGGCTATTGCATGCTTTGAAAATTATTATACAAATAAAATGATTATTACACGAGTTCAAACTATAATAAGTTTTATGACAAATTATAAAATTAATTCAAGGATTAGGTAATTTAGATTGTAAATATTGAACTATGGAGTTGTTTTATTCAAATATTAATTCTATGGACTTCGTCTCGGTGAAGGAATTTCCCCGATATAAATCACCTCGCCTTCGACAAATAAATTGTTAAATGTTCACCTTTGCATAGCTGTAATTTCTGGCAATGGATTTATTTTTGTTATAGAGTAACATAATAGTTCGAACAATCCAAGCGGGGCCGCCATTTGACTTGGGGCCGTTCTGACCGATCGCGAGCATGTGTGTGGATTGGATATGAGAAAATTAGTTTCCGTCCTTCCCAATAATAAAGACTAATTCATATACGTCACTACGCCACTGCAAGTCTGCACCACAACGGCAAGGTAAGATTGAGCATGGTTTAAATAAACACCTATGGCGACAAAAACAGTTGCTAGAATATTTTCACAGTAACACATTATGAAATTGTATCGGATTTTTAAGTATTTTAGTCTTTTGGTGCCTATTACAATATTAACTATTGGGCCTCTATGCCTATGGATTTGTAAAGGATTCACTAATAGTAATAAAACATACCGTACATGAAAACATTCTTCAATTTGGGTAAACGTATCACAGTTTTGATGCTTATTTTACTTTTACTTACTGAGACTATTACGTGCTGATGCCGTGATGACGTTGTACGGTTGTAACTTAATTAAAGATTTAATTTCATCTCGTCTAACTTCGTTCTAATTTAGTTTAACTTTAATGTAGTTTATTCATTTCACTAAAAATAATATAAAACGTGTTGTTTCGCTGTTTCGTTTCGCTGTTTCGTTGTTTCGCTGTTTCGTTTCGCTGTTTCGTGGTTTAGTACTGTCCGAGAATTACGTCGCCCAACTGAGCGGTCGCAATAATTTGAAAAGCCTCGATTCTTATAAATCCGCTTCGACGGCACATCAGCGAAAAATGTCGTTCGTTTTAAGTCGTTCAGGAGCCTCGTCTTCTGCCACAAACCAAGCGCCAATTCAACCAAATGAATCACAATACAGTCTCCAACAACAAAACCTTTCCTACTCCAACTAGTCTGCAGTCGGAAGCATGTTTTCAGGGGCAACAATTCAAAAGATCGATGGCTGTCATTTCAACTTTTTCCTCAACGCGAGCAAAAGTCCGATCAGAGCTCCAGAAGCACCTTTTGCCAAAAGGCGTGTTATCTTTAGCGATGACAGTGACTTAATGATAACCTTTTTGAGGTTTCTGTTAGATTTGACTCCTTTATAATAAACTTCCATTGGATATTTATATATTTAAACGATGTTTTTCTCTTGAAAAATGCTTGTATTCAGAATGGTTTCGTTCTTGAGTTTTTCAAATAAACATGTCAGGTGACTTCCTTATTTGGCAGCTTCATTTGCGTGCGGAAGGGGAGGTTGGGGAAATTTAGAGGGGGGAATTAAAAAAAATAAAAATATTATTTACCGGTATGGTCGGTCCGTATAGAGAAATATTTCTCTATACGGACCTCCAATCCGGTAAATAACATATATTTATTCAACATAAACTATGTATCAAGATAGAATAAATTTTATAAATCCCAAAATACAAATATACGCAAGTATACTGAACTTATATTAACTTAATTTAATTTAATAATCTCTTTCCCGACAGGTCCCTATTAAACAAATCACTCATGATTTATCATTTTTGCGGTTCATATCTTCAGTTCGGTAAATGCTACGTGGACCAAAATACCACCATTCGATTCAGTGTAACGATAGCTACTCATTCCTATCGATAGATTTAGTGAATGGCAACATTATAGCGATTTATGAGCTTTGAAATTCAAACGAGCTCGTATATGATCAAATTACGCAATATTACTGACAAATTATGAACATAAACATACCTTTCGCCGAATATAACTTCGTCCCATTGAGACGTATGCTCATTCTGATCGTCTTGATCAATTTAGAAGTTAAAAATAACGCGTATAGTGTTATTTTCAAGCTTCTATCTTTAAAGTTCGACATTTAGTGCCGATTGCCGAATTTTGTATTTCTGCTCCAAATATGCGTTAATCCCAACCGGAAATACGACGAAAAACCGTCAAAACAATGCTACGCTTGTATCACGTGACTCTGGAAATGCCAGAAATGGATTCTACAGGTCAAAGTGCACCCATACGCGTGAGTTTGACGTCATCCCGGCTAACGGGAGCTCCTTATTGGCCAAGTATTACGTAATACAAGCGCGTGCTAGTAAAACCCGATACTTTGAAAATTCAAAATAAATATTTCTAGTCGGCGTATACATACGAAACTTTCTACACGAAAGCGCTTGAATACAAAGAGTATTTTACACATATATCCTTTCAGGAAATGACACCAAAGTTTAGAATATATTCAACTTTTTCTCATTTTCCCGTTTGAATGTTTGGCGAAGCGGTGAGTATAAATATATGATTGTTTCGGTTTGTGTAATGTTTTGCCGGCACTTGACCCCCCGTTCGAAAGGTTATATTGTGAGGATTTCAATGGTGGCATTTATTTAAAAGGGGGGTAAATACTCGCCGAGTTATTTATATTAGAAAACTTGAATCGAAATGTAATACGAAACAGGTTGTTAACTTAAGCAATACAAATAAATACAACTGTTTCCAATGTCAATGAGTCAATAATATACACTTAATGTCTGCTCGCGAGGGAAATAGTTAGTTTTGTTTTCCCGAGAGACTCAATGTTTCCCGAGACGAAGTCGAGGGAAACATTGAGTTTCGAGGGAAAACAAAACTAACTATTTCCCGAGAGAACAGACATTAAGTGTTTTGTTATATAGCGACGAAATAAAAAATATATATATATTCATACAACAATTGTATTTTGTGATAAAAACAATACAAAGTAAGCGATATTAAAATTTAAAAACTTGCCTAAAGTATTTCCACAGCATTTCCTGTTGCCTGCTGTGTATTTTTCGTCTCTTTCGATTTTGTAGTCTTCAAATAAACTTAAGAAAACATTTATAAACTTGCAAGTTCAAAGCCGCCATTTTGTTTTCGGGAGGGCAATAATTGTTTACTTATTGCCCTGAAGGAAACATTGCATTTAATTAGGGTCATGTGACCACAAATCAACCAATCACGGATTGGCTTTCCCCCTAGCTATATAACAACACCAATTAATTAAGAAATAATTAACAGTTATTCCACTCACTCTCGTCGAATATGAGCGATAGGTCTGAATTTACAGACTTTGCTTTTCGGATATTTTCAATATTTTTCTATTTTGTTTATGTTTTTATCTTCGCTCTTTCGGCCAATTATTGTTCAAAAATATATATTTTTAACTATTTTAAATTTTAAAAATTCATTTGCTAACCTGTAAACAATTTGAGAGAGTTTTTTCATTGTGTTTTTAATCTTGTAAAGGCTATTAAAATCGAACAACTTGCTGTGTTCTCGTTTGCAAAACGTCGGAAATTCAGTTTGAGCCGCCATTTTGTTTTTCTCTACTAGCAGGATATGAGCTACTATCCTGCTAGTAGAGAACCAATCAGATTGCAGAATACCTCATATCCAGTCCTTGTGTATATAATAAAACCTATTATCATATGGTTTTTCAAAATTCTCTATTCTGATTGGTTGACAAGCGGTCCGTAAAAACCCATATCCGGACAGTGGTCCGTATATTTTCCGTATCTGGACCGGTGTCCCGGGTGTCGTTTATCTGGCGGGAAATTTTTGCTTTGCAAACAGAAAAACTTTTTGCTTTTTAATTTTCCAATTGTGTGTCATTAAAATTTACAGATAAAAATTTCAAACAACCAAATTGTTTTTGATTGAGCATGCATGCCTACCGTATATTGTTACCCAGTGAAACTGACGATAGCCGATTTAATTCGCGCGAAAAGCATATATGCTCGCAGACTCAGTACAGCCATATAATAAACCGATTATTGACCTCGCTTAAAAAACCTCGGTCTGATCATAGTTAATATAGAAGACCGGGTTTGGAAGGCTGGGTCGCGTGACGAAATATGTTGGATTTTCGGTCACGTGGAACATATAGTGCATTGCGTGCAAGATCGTAAACAATGGCCATAGTGATTCTATACAATGAGTGTCGAATTTATACCATGACATGCGAAGCGAAAAAAGCTGTTGGTTTGGCGATTTTTTTACAATGCCTCGAGCCAATTGCTAAATATTTGGTTGTGGAACATGCAGAACGCATGTTGGGCTCGGAATCTTTCGAATTCCGTCTGGCAAAGACGAACGATCAACTAGAGCTCGAGAGGCTTGGGTTAGGAAACATAATTACAAAGAATCGACATATGGACAAAAGTTTACGTCGCCAGATCGATATTAAAGGCGAGCTGCATGTTTTCGAGAAACATCCCAAGATTGAAATACATTGATTGTCGTACGTGTATTCTTATTTTTTTCGTAAGCAATAAGTTAAAACTGTGCGAAAGAGGCAATAGCGTGAGAACAACTTATATCTACCAGGCAAAACCAGGCAGTAATAAGATTGCCCAAACCTTTTAATACTGGACTATCAATTAAAGAGACTGTAAATTCAGTTGTTGCCCTGACAAGGTTTTTGTTGAGCGAAGGATTTGAGTGTGTGCTCACAGAACGGTTCTGCCAGGATGATATACGATGTTTAAGAGTATTTCGGTTTAATACCAGCGAGCACAAGGGAGAAGGAATGATATTTTACTGTAAAACCCAACAGCAGCTGACAACCATTCAAGGAAATGTTTCAATTCTGGACGGCATTCTGGTATTAAAGCGAAGCAAGTGGTGTAAATGTGTAATGTGAGTGAGGAGTCATTGCCCAAAGAGAAGAACATAAAACAATCAAGAAATAGTGTTCTTGAACATGTTATGAGAACAATAGTTAACAAGTAATGCAAAATATTGATCATTTTGCGAGAACTCTTGTAGTCTGTAGACATATTGAACATTTCTTATGAAGGTACTATTGTATTGTGCACAGTGCTACGAGTAAAA